TTCATTAAAGCTATCTGTAGCATTCTGTATTGGTACCACTCAATCATTACTGACGTTTGTGACAACCAAAACATGTTACATTTATAATTATATTAACAGTCATGATCTCAATAATAAAACTGAAAACTGTTCTGTAGAATACTATGACTGGTCTATACTTCCATGGAAAATTGAACTTTGAAAGTTGCTGATTTTAAAAAGCTCTAAACATTTGACTTATTAGAGTTAATCTTAGTTTAAACTGATGTCTATTAAAAAGCTTTCGTAAAAGCATGTATACATTTTGTGACAGATGATGTCAGATTGCTGTATATAACATTATCTATCAAGGCCTTAGAGTTTTTCTTAACAAAAAGTCCTATATTTGTCGATTAAGTTAATACGGGTACTTTCTAATCTACGGTTACTCTGTGTATGTATGTTAGGTAGAATTAAAAATTATTTTTCTGGAATCGGTTTACTTCTCATCTAACAAGGTGTTATATCCATAACTCATATATGATTATTATTATTAATATTACTGATAGAGGGGTGTACACAGGGTATAGTGATTCAGATAGTATATTGTGCTAACCCCAATTGTTTCCACCGATCTTTAGGTTTTCGATTACCTTGAGTACATTTGTCAGTTTTGCATTGTTCTGTAGGTTATGAAGAGCAATAACACTGTCCCTCAGTTGGATAAATCTAATGTTGCTTAATTTAGAATGTTCATGTAGAATATGTTCAAATGTTTTAATACCTGGTAAATTATATTAAGCCAAATTATATTTGCTCTCAATTAATGTAAAATTAATAATTATAAAAGCATTTCAGTTTTATATAAAGAGTTTCTATTTATGATTATTAATAAGTCTGAATGTAGAATATGTATGTACTCTGTGATTTTTGTTTAAATTTACTATTAGACTATGAACTTATGGAATATTATTTATCAGAAATTAAGAATTAATGCAAGAATCTAGATGTTAGATCATGATAGATTCTCAGCATACGAATTTCAATCTGGTTTTACATAGTTATTCCTAAAATATTTCTAATACAACACAGAAAGTAAATTTCTCAATGAACTTTCACAGCAACAAAACTTTAAGTTCAAAAATACAAGTCAAGTGCAGCTAATGGCTAATGAACGCTGACTCTGAGCTTTAAATTTGGCAGGGCACGACCCTTGGTACTTGCAGTCTCAAAAAATTATTTATGAATAATAAAATATTAGAAATAATTTCAAGATCACTGATGATGGGTATTTGGCTACACACGAAACACCTGTGTGGTCAGCCAAAAATTCAAATAATTAATAAATATAAAATCTTATGGCTGTAACTTAACACAGTACATACAGTACATTCAGTAAAATATGCTCTAAGAACTACTAGTTAAATTGTTCGAAAAATATTAACTCATGTGGTAAAGAAGATGTCAAACCCAATATGTGGTATGGTTAAACCACCATGATGTATCGAGTAAGAATATTTTTACTTTAGATTTGGTTAAAATCTGGTTAAAAGAATCAAATTATTTTTCTGAGTGTTTAAAATACTTCTCCATTAAAAACAATAGTTTATATTAGGAAATGAAAAATAAAAATAAATAATGAAAAAATTAAGGTTCTGTCGAGAGTGAGAGTGGGAAATATGGTAATAGACAGGGAGGATAGCATTAAATATCTTGGCATCACGTTAGACAAACTATTCACATGGCTTCAATATGTTCAACTGAAAAGAATTAGATATGCCAAAACTCACAGGAAGCTGATATATAATCAAATAATTCGTCCGTCACTTCTACATGGATGTATAGCGTTTAGCAAAGCCTCAAACACTACTATTCGCCAGCTAAAAGCTGCACAAAGCCAGGCTCTGAGAAGACTTTTCAAGGTATCATGGTACATTAGGACGAATGACATCCTCAGGGACCTCAAGATTGATCCAATCAAAAAATACATAAAGAATAAAGCCCTAAAATTATTAGCAAAAAACTGACAGACTTACCAACACCGCATTATCGAATCTCAGTATGGTTACAGGCTCATCGGGGAGGTATGCAAATCTGCGGTCAATTATTGCTTAATCTGATGAAGTGATAAACAATAATCCAGTCAAGACGCAGAGAGTGGTTTTGAAGAAACCTTAATAGAGAGTAAAAGTGCTCAAGTGCACTGACTCAACTGGCTTCTACATAAATAATAATATTTATTCGGAAAATAGATTCTTTCGTCATAACGGACGTTAGCAATCAATTTAATATAGTCGCTTTTGGTATTTTTAGATGCTATCTATTTATAGCTTCGATTTATATATAGCAATATTAAATTTTTGGATAAAAAATGAAATTCATGACATAAATTTTAGTATTTTGTATTTATCCCCTGAATTAGTTGTGTCTAAGTTTCAATTGTGTTGTTATTTGTAGTTGTACTTGTAATCTTTTTAAACTTTGCGGTTCTGGAGTATTACTCTAGATACTTGTGGAATATTATTAAAATTAAATTCTCTTTTAGCAAATAAATCGTGCGTATTTATAGAAAATTACTCGAAGTATCAGTTTATGTTAATGAAACGTGCTGGCTTGCCTACCTAACACTTTGTGAAAATATTATGTCACTGAGTTCGTTTTTATCTGTTGAACAATGAAAAGTTCACGGCATCTCTGAAAGCCGTTTAAACGTACTCGTATAATTTAATTACATGTTAATAATATCTAATAAAAGCGAGCTGGCACTTGTAGTTGATGGGTGTTAGTGGCTCATAAAGCACGTTTATGAGCTGCCGAAAACAGCCATTAATGATGTAAGCGGTGAAGTGTCAACATAAATCTCAATTAAATTACGGTTAAGCGAAGCGATTACTGTGCCAGGCAAGGCGACAGCCGCTTTGGTGGCCAACTTCAACTTCAACTTCAGCTTCAACTGCAATTCCAACTTCAATTTCACTTTCCGGCGAAAGCAACGCCTATGGTCGCAACAGGCATGTCTGATTCTTCGAAAAAAACTGAAGCGGTGCAAAATGTAAAAGTATAACACCTGCATTTGTCCGGCCAAAGGAAAGTAGAGTTCATGAAACTCATAAACGAATTACTTAATTTGGGTTCGACGTTATGGCACAGCTCGAGTGAGATACTTTCGTGCACGTTGTAAAGCGAATCATGAAATACGAGTAGAATCACAAAAGACCAATAAAAATTCAAATAATTTTAAACTAGAAAATATATTTTATTTAATTTCGTATAATTTATTCTGTATATAAATGTTAAGCCTCATTGAAATTCAGAATTCTCTAAGAATATTGCTTAATAAATTTCTGCTTTAATCGCTTCTCAAGTTGCCAATGAGGTTGTTCTGTATTGTTCAGCTAAAAAACGTTTTGAAATAAAAGAATCTGAAGAAATTCTTATGAAAAAAAATATTTTCTTTCAAAATGCCAATGTTTTTATGGTTTCAGCGCGGTTTTTTATTTTTTTCTATTCCAGCGCTGATTCACCTTTCCGATTGACTGGCGTACTTAGTACCTGAAGAAAGGCCAGACCAATTTTTCAAAACAGCAGAAATTGCAGAAATTGCAGTTTGACTTTGACTGGTACCGTTTACTTCTGCCTAATACCGCTTATAAAAATAAATAAACGCTCAGCTGTGTTTTACGGCCAGTGATTGGGCGATTAACGCGAGATTCAATGCGGTGGATAGCGGGAAATTTAAATGTAGCTTTTATTTTATTATCGAAATACAGTTGAAGATGTGATTATATTGAAGATTTTATGGAAAACCAGTTTAATAGCTTCAAGAGACGAAAATGTCTATTGGATTGAATTGACAGTGGATGATATTCAAAAGAAACATATTATTTTTGCAAAATTAAAATTAAAATTTCTGTTTTGGAAAAGGCTGATATTATCATATAGATAGTAGTTTATATATAGCAATATTTGCCGACGTTTTGAAGTTTATTTGACTTCTTCGTCAGGGCGGAGTAATATTACTACCCCTAAAATAAAAATTAACAGTAACAGGAAAAATAAGTAATGGAACTCCAGTCCTTTTTACTTTACAGCAATACTCATAGTTGTCTACTTAAAAACTAATGTTTACTTCTATTATTAACTAAATTAATTAATTAGTTAGAGGAAAGCAGTTTAAAAATTAAGTTATTTAAGCAACTTTCGATAAAATCAGTGGGTACATTTTGATACTTGGTATTCCATTCTTTTTTCAACATGGAGACTCTTACGAATATGTTGCATGTAAGCGATCAATTGTCTCGTCTTGGATGAGACCTTTTAATTTTTGAACATTTCTGTCCCATTGTCCTAAAAGAAATGCTTTATTAAAATCTGCTTACAAAGTGGCGTGTCCGGGAGAAAGAAATCGCAATCATAAAACCATAAACACTTCTTAGATTGATGCCATTCTTTATGATGTTGAAGGCTACATTGAAGCCTGGGTCGATTTAGTATTACTGTAAACAAATACCTATGTGTAGTAAATAGGTATCTGAAGAGACCTCCAGATTAGATTGCATTATATCGAAATTTCACAAATAGGGTTAGAAATTTCTAGCTGGAACTATATGCTCTCAAGATGTAGCACCCAACGACTCCAATTTCGTAATATGCGTAAATAATTAAGAAAAATAAATTTAAAGAAAGGGTATGCCCCTGCTCTTAAGATGTAGTATCCAACGACCATATCCGCTTTCATAGTGTGCGTAAATAATTTAGATTTAGAATTTAGATAATAATAATTTAGTTAGAAGAAGTTTACACTGAGCAATCAAAACTTCTGAAGTCATGAATATTTTAAGTCAATCTCATAAAAAAATTATTCTGTGAATATTTTATCTGTTTAAGCTCTAGAATAATGTTCTACATTCTAAAAATAATTTCTTTCTATTTTTATTACTCTCATATCTGAGCTAATAATAATAACTTAGTATACATATTTTGTGTTCAAATTGTTGCATTAATTTATTTGCTTCATAAATCATAACTAAAATCATAACTTTTTTTGGTTTAAAAAAATTACTTTCGTATTTTCCGGATATCACAAAATTTTTTTTTCTTCAAAAATTCACGAAAATGGCTGAATCCAATGTTTTGGAGAACGAAAAGCCTACGTTAGTAAAAGTCTAAATTATTATTTAATTATATTTTTTATATATCATTATTATAAAATAAATATTAATTACTTTTTTAGCAAAGGTAATAAAGTTACAAAAATAGTTCACCAGCAGTATAGAGTTTTGGAGGATACAGCAGATGAAATAGCTACTCTTCCTCCAAAGAGTTATAATGAACAATTGAACAAATTGGCAGTAATGGATGTAAGTATCTTGTGGTATAAACTCATATAAAAATACCGATTGATTGTTAATAAAAATAACTACAAAAAAGGAACAGCTTAGTACTTTTTTGAAGACTGCAAAGAGTTTAATGAATGTGTATTTAGAAGGTGTAAAGGAGTGGCGGGGAGTACTTAGGAAGGATACATCCATGCATCCAAAAATTGTGGAACTAATGAAAGAACGTAAAATCAGTACCACTAAGCCATCCACTAAGCCATCAAGCGACTTTACACCTCAAGCCGAGAACGAGGATGTCGAAGAATTAAATTAAACTCAATTTTATTGGTAAATAATTTTTTAAAAAAATACTTCATTTAAATTGATTTCTTTCTCCTAGCCTGTAACAATTTGAAATTGACATGGCCTTCCAAAATTTTTCAAATATTTTATAAATTTACATCTACTTATATGTCAATTGTTATGACGTAGGAAGGAGCAATGTAGAAGAAATCAAAAATGACACGAGGTGCATCCTTGGTTTTATCATGAAAAACCAAGTATTTTTTGGAAAAAATTTGTAATCTATTAACTTATCTCACATTTTGAATTATATTGGAGAGATACCTTCTCTCGTTCGTTATGCCAATCTTGTTCACTTACTAACATATTAAAGACCTAATAATAAATAGCGTAGAAAAAAAAATATGTTGAAAGAATTTAATTGACAGGGTAGTTAGGGTTTTACTTGAAAGAGACATATTTTGTTGGAATTTATCTTCAACTAATCAGAAAATACATAGTGTGCGTTATAAGTAAGCTACTAATACGTTTTATTACAGTCCAGCTTCAACTCATATATTATTCATATACAACTATGATTATAAAATTAAAACCTCTCGTTTCAATTGGTGCTTCTGCCAGCTATGGAAGAAACTTGGCATACGATCATTTTTGGTGGCAGGTCGACAAAATTTGAGCTAACATTTTTTCCGCAACCGTATGAAGAGTGATATGGACTATATACTACAAATATACAACCTTTGATCTTATTCAAAATAATAAATCGAAAGTATTTACGATATGTGGGCTCTAACTAAATTTCGGAATATACGTCAGCATTGGATCAACCTGAGCCTGTCCTGGCGAAAGTCTTAAAAAACATGATTACTAGCGCTCCAGGAGGAAGCACCGGATGACCGGTTTGGTTTCTGCCTAAGCTTAAGCTTTTGGACGCCCCATTCTTTAACTCACGCTGCAATATTTTTAACGTTAGATTCTTGATTCTAATACGCCTAATTTTCTATACATTATTATAAGTAATGTGAAATCAAAGGGTTATTTTTTAAAAGGTTTCAATTTCCTTCCCGTTGACCCATCTACCTTAACTGTATATTAAAAATGGTCTCAAAATTTTTTTATCATTTACCTGAATAATAGGACTTTGATATTATAACAATCGATGCACAAGGAAAATCAACATCCTAATCATCGCCCTATTTTCTAAATCAACAGCTTATAGTAGTAGCTAAAATGGAGTTTCGTGGTTACTATTTGTTTGAAAATAATATTTGACATAATAATGTCCAAGGCCAATGAAATTAAGGATATTTTAAAATTAAATGGATTTGTTATATGAAGAGAGTACTATTGGGCTATTAATATTAATAAATCATAATGAATTTGAATTCATCATTAATGTTCTCATGAAGGATAATCATAATTAATATATACGACGACTAATGTTATGACTACATAATGTATATACATCTATATAACATGTATATAACATATAGAATACTCGAATATAATGTAATGCGTCTTGTATAGTAAATGATTGTTCTTTTTTTAATTATGGAACTGTCTTTTGATAGTCAATGGTACCTAATGAACTATCTAAAAGGTTTAGTGTGATAAGTTTTAATGTGAATAGTGCAGTTTTTATCTTTTTTATATATTTTTTTAGTTCTAATAAAGAACTAAGAATTTTAGTAAGCTATTCTAATCAATACTCGTATTAAATATATTGAAATCATTGTAAAAAGATAGATATCATTGTAAAACGAAAACCATTTTCTTCATCTGAACATGTAGAAATTCTTTCGACCTTTTTTGGCTTGTCAGATCTGACTTTATGAAGTCTATGCGAATGTCTACACAGGAGACCTTTTGGCTGAGTTTTTGATTGCTTAAGTTTGGACTGTACCAAAAGTGAAATATTAGAATAAGAGCTTTTAACTCTATTGTAATCAGGACCTGCTTCCTAAGAAACAATCTGCTTTCCATCGAACAGTCTATTCTTTGGTTTAAGACTTGTTTGTGTTATAAGTGCTCTGTTAAGGACGCAGATCTACTGCTGTTTTCAAGGTATCGTAATTTTTTAAATTTATTTATATTTATATATCTATATAATATATGTAAAAAATCTTTTATATTGAAATTGGTTAATATATTAAAAGTATAAAAACTTTATTGTTCTAATGGTGTTTCTGATTGATAAAGCTGGATTCAATATAAATTCACTCTCGATCTGTTAAATTGTGTTGTACAATCAAATATTTTTATATATATTTTATTACCCTATTATTACATATTATTACTATTATATTCTACTATTATATTATAATGTTACTTTAAAAATATATGATTGGACAATAAAATTTGACAGATCGAGAGTAAATTTAGGTTGAATCCAGCTTTACCAATCAAAGTAATCTAACATTTCTGTAGTAGTATCAGTAGACATTTATATTTTTCATAAATACATATATCGAAAGAAATCATAGTTTACCTGTCAAATCATATAAAACAGTTGTTAATTTCAGGGTAAGTTTGCTGCTATGGCAAAATATCTAGAGCATTGTAAATAAATGTGGAGTGTTCTGAATTTTGCTCCAGACTAACCAATCGAAAACGCCTTAAGTAAAAAGTAAATTCAAAATTTTTTATTTTTGAATTTTTGTCAATTTCGCCCACTGTTGTTTTTGATTTTGTCTTGAAAGCAATTTATTCAAATATTTTTATAGCATTTTTCTAAACAAGGAATTGCCGTTTTATTTATTACAAAACAAAAATCTGTAAAGAAGTGGTTGACATGTTCAATGGAAATTTCTTTTCACTACGGAGCAGCTAATTCCAAATCTACTACATCAGCGAAGCCAAATGCATGCTGCTTCAATAGATCAGCGGATATGAGCACCTGAGTAATGGCTACCAGTTAACAACAAGAAAAACAACCTTGTCTGCGGTTGTGGATGGATGGATGGATGGGATGGGAGCAAAAAGAACTACAATCGAAGCGCAGGTGAGCCATTCAAATGAGATAAGAAAAGAATTATGCAGCTTCTTTATGTTTATAGCTGCCATTGAAATCCGTTCTTCTAGTCATGCAACAGTTGCATAGACGCTAGAGCATAGATACTTGTGCATAGATACTTGTGCATAGATAGACGTACATAGATACTCAGTTATATAATGCATAGTGCGCAGGGGGATATGGTGAAGGCAATGAATGATACACACCTCTGAAACTGCTTTGGTTGAAGTTTATTGATGATGAAGAATTTCCGGAATTTATTTTGTGGTTGATTTAATGGACAAACTAATAAATTCACGTAATTACTATTGGAGAAGTCGACGAAGCAGCTGAGTGTAGAGTGCTTAGCTTGTAGCCAGCAGTGCTTGTTGCTGCCGGTGCGGTTAATGAGCGTTCCGTGGCGTTGATTGCGGCAGTGCAAGAATCCGTTGTTGCCAATTAAATTTTATATGAATTTTTGTGAGACGCGGAGCGGGAAACTCTAAGACTCTTAAATTCTTGTGAAGCTGGAAACTCTTTTGCATTGAATCACAGCGGCGACGTTTGAATTGCTTAGGAATTGTTTGGCCATTAATTAATAAAGAATTCGCTTAAATTAAACGGAGTTTTGCTGTGATTAAACCTAAACATGTGCAAATTACAGAAATTATTTTAATTTTGAATTTTTAATTACGAAAAAATTTCAACAAAACAAATTTTATCAAAAAATTTTTATTATTTTTTATAATTTAAGTTTAAAACGCGGTCAAAAGTTTAAGTTTAATTTTGTATTTTTTTTTTATTTATTTTTTTAATAATTTTTTTTTCCTTCTATTAGTTTTGTTGCTTTAAGCGTTGATTTTTTTATTTCACAAAGACACACCGACGAACGCACGCGTCATTAAAATACGCCTGCGTGGTTGCGCGGTTTGTAAATTTTTTTTTAAATTTTTTAAAAAATTTTTTTTTTTGGTAATGTAAGCGTTTTACTCGCGTTTTGTTAAGCGTGATTTTTTTTATTTATTTTTGTAAATTTTTTTCATAGCCACTCTGCATGTGCGCTTGCGCTGCTGCGTTCATAAACTCTTCGCAGCCAAATTTGTATCGGAATTTGTATCTGAATTTCTCGTCAAATTTTGAAGTTTGAGGTTTAAATAAAAAGCTGAAGCGCTGAAAACCGGTTGAATGAATTATGCTCAGAGTGGCGAAATAAAGGGAAGAAAAATTTCAGTTTCACTATGTTTTGCCCAAAAGAAATGGTAATGCATAAGTGAGAAGACTCGGCGAAGACCGCGGTCTCAGTGAAGATAACAGAAACAGTTTCTCGGTTTCTTGGAATGTGAAAATGTGTGCCAATATTTACATTCCGCTTGTCGACCAAGCGACTCACCGCTGCTAATAAGTAAAAAGCGTAGAAAAGGGCGGATTATGCTTTGACAACGGAATGGGTTAAGGCTTGGCCAATGCTGGAGTGGAAAGTGGAAGTACCGTTTAAAATTGGTTTTTGTTTCGAAGTTTTTATAGAGGAAGTGTTTATGTTTACCATTTTGGGAAAAAAAAAATCATTTCTTTTCTATTTAACCTCAGCTAAAACAATAACCACTTTATTTTTGTTTCTTCAGATACAATTGTTTTGATAAAAATCTATTGAGTTTTTTTCGAACGACAATTGTAAATAAAAGTTCTGTTAGCAAAAAATAAATAGAAATTCCAACATTAAAAAGTTTTATTTTAATAACATAAAAACCCTCGAGATATTGGTGAAAAAATGAAATTAAATATTGCTAAATCTACATTTTACAAAGTTAAGAGTGCCAGTTAGTAGCACTAAAAGCAGAAGGAAAAATTTCATAAAAAATTTCTGTGGAGAATCTCTGTGTAAACATTTTCTATTGTATGGACATACCGGCTGACTAACTAAATTGACCGATAGTCCAACGACACGATAATAAGCGTTACATATTTATACAATTACGGCTATTAGAGTGTTGGGATCTATTAGGGGTCCATAGGTGCTGTACAGAAAAAACTTGATTTTGTGAATTGAATACTAAATTTAAAACAGATTTTTATTCCTAATGAAGAAAATAGATTTTGAGAAATACTACAGTTTTCATGACGAGGTTCAATAAAGGAATGTGTTTTATGAGGTATAAAATAATATTAAGTGTTATTCTCACACATTTCAAAGATGTTTTTGAAGATAACATATGTAAGTCCCGGGAGCCAAACTAATGTTTACTATTATGTTATATTGCAAATTGTTATTTTGTTAACTATTAAACGGATCATAAATTTTAATTATTTAAAGATAGTAACAAAAAAATAAAGTCTGTTTTAATAGACAGATTAGTTAGATACGATTAGGTAGTTAAAACTAATTGGCCGACCTTCTACATAGACATAATATT